GAGAACCGTGACAGGCAGAACTCTGCTCTGTTCCCCAGGCACCAGCTGTAATCTTCCTGTACCAATATTTGTTGGCGCCGAATCAGGACAGGAAGCGATGTGATGGGACGTCAGATTGGGACGCGCAAGAGAGATGAGGCCGAGCAAGGAGCAGCATCCAATTGTAACTGCAACTGCGCGCTTCACCAAGCAAGACGCTGCATTTTTATTTACACACAGACACACAATAGCACTCACTGCCCCACACACACATGGATGATGCAGGGTAGGAGTAGGAGCGAGCACAAACGCTGCTCACTTCATCTTGTGAGGGTGCAGAAGATGTGTGAGATTGAACCGGTACATGAATCGTCAAAGCATTAAAATAAATGTCCACTATCAGGTCTTTCAAAGACTTTTGATTTATGCATCGTAAATGTATACATTTTTGTCAAGAAGACAAAGACATCAGAGGAGAGAGAGTTTTTGTTTGGTTTTAACATGTTTTTTTTTATGTGATGAAAAAAGAAATGTGTGACAGGATTATAGCAATAAGGTTTGATGCTAAGGTTCATAAGACAGCTGTGATGTATGGACAGGACAATATCTGAGAGACAGGAAGCTGAGGACGAGGTGATAGAGTTGAGCTAGGCTAGAACGCTGAGCTAATATTTTAATGGATAGAATTAGATAAGAATGGACCAGAAGGACAGATTTTGAGTCTTTATCAGAATGTTTGAAAACATCACACCTGGGTCAAAGGTCGAGGTCATTGTTCAGTTTTGTAGATTATTACTGTTGTATAATGTCTCCTTTAAGCCCGAGGACAACAAAGGATGAGTGGAATGAAGGGGGGGGGGGGGGGGGGGGGGGGGGTATTTTCTATGTGTTTACAAACATGAGTGTTTTGTGTGTGTGTGTGAGTGTGAGTGTGTGTGTGTGTGTGTGTGTGTGGCCTCTGGTCTTTGTTTGGACTGGCAGCAGAACAGTTTCCATAGTCATTATAGAAACAGACTCCAGGACACACACTAGTGGAAGAAAAGGAAGGTTTTCTGCTGCCCCCCGCCCCCCATCACACACTCACACAAGCACACACACACCATCTCTCTCTCTCTCTCTCTCTCTCTCTCTATCGCTCTCTCTTTCTTGTTATTTTATGGGAATAACCCTTTTAATCAGGTTATCTTGTTTCCCTTACTCTTATTTTTATTTTTTACCAAAAAGGATAAAAGACGTAAACATTAACAATAATAATAATACAATAAGCTGAAGCGTATATATTTTAGATTTACGACAGGACACACTTTGTATTGCAAACTGAGACATCAGCCCGAGAGCGACTTCAGCCAAATACTTCCAGCTTGAACTTGTTACAGGTAATCGTAGCCTAACACCCGGAGCCGGTTCAGCTAACAGCCGCTGGTTACATATGAACTTATCAGTGATTGTTGGCTGAGTAGAAGCCGCTCTCCAAGCAGACTGAACTTTCTTCATCCTGCCCGTTGATAAGAGCGGAGCGGCTTTACATAACCCTGCCTTTCACCAAACACAGCCTGATATTCCATAGACTCTGACAGTGGCACCCAGGGGCAACCTCCCCTACCCCTCCTCCTCTTCTTCATCCATTCCCATCCTCTAGCTACTGCAGCCCTTCGTCCTCTACCATTTCTTCTTTTACGTCTTTTTTTAATTTCATAATCCAGACGCAGGCAGCAGTGCATGATGTGGGATAATGTTATCAGGGCTGCACAGGACGGCGCGCTGATCCTATCCACTTAATTGGAAGTTGTTTTCACCGAGTTTCATGGCTGGGCAAGTGGATGGGAGCAGCTCAAGGAAAAAAGGCAAACGGATTGGACAGAGTGTGTCAGTGTAACGTGTGTGTGACAGGCGATGGAAATGTGTTGTAGAGCGAAAGAAGTGGAGAGAAATTAGAGGGAGGCTGTTCAAACGCGACATGTCCTTTACTGCAGGCACAGAACTGAATGGAATATATGTAGTTATTATTCGTTGTTATTGTTGTTGTAGTTTAAAGGCCAAAGGTCTGTGTCTTCAATGGGTTTTATTTGGTAAGAAAATAAAAATTAAAACAAGTGACACGTATCAAGTACTGCCTTGATGTGCTGCCTCGCGTGGGAGGTTTTTGTCACTAATGTTAATCAAACAGCAAAGTAAAAACACACTGGGGAATAAAGGAGGGAAACAAAAATGTCTCTGTTTGCCATCATAGAAAAACAAGAAGCATTGGACACTAAGTTAAGTAAGTCTAAGACATATATTATTATTTATATTTTAGTATGTGATTTGTTCATATAGACTGATCTTTGTCTTTTGTAGAATAAAACTTCAACGTGTGTCATCTAAGTGTTCGAGAGCAGAGAGCAGCATGACATAGAGCTGCACCTGGAGACCATAAATCACAGGTAAAACAGTTCCTGTCCCCGTTAACCAGTTCTCCAGGGTGGATGTTAATAACAGAGCACACACACACACACACACACACACACATTGGCCTCAGTGGGCCTTTCACCCTCTGCCTGATGAGCTGACCCTGAGGACACTTGGCAAGACCTGTTTGGGAAAATCGATACTGTGAGAGGGACCAATGATCCACAATAGATTTCTAACCCTGACCTCAGGTTAGTCTGACTTCACTGCTGCTGTGTTCAAATGCAAACATAGGATTTTGGCATAAAAAAAAAAAACATATGTAGAAAAACTTCAGTATGTTGCAGTACTATAAGACTATTTTTATTGTTATTATTATTTAAATTGGATCCCTATGGATAGTTGCAAGTATGTTAAAGCACTTTTTTTCAGCAACTTTAATAAATTCAACAAAAATGTATAAAAATGTATATAAATTTCATATTTTGGCAGTTTATCTTTTTAAATTTTGTCTAAGACACATTGTTACCAGCCATGAAAATTAAAAAAAAAGGTTTTTGATTTAGTGAATGTGTGTGTTTGTATGTCATGACTGAAACACTGCATAATGACATGTTCATGACGCAAAAGTCAGCGACGACAGAGAAAAAAAAAATCCAGAGACGTTGGTGCATGAATTAATGATGAGCTGCTAACGCCAGGCCTCGCTCTCAGGTCTGCCGGGCAGAGCTGGCGTTGTTATTTATTCATGTGACTTAGTTGGTGATAAATTATTCCCTTAGCACAGACTGCAAGGCCATGGAGGCATACATGACTGCATCTCATTTTTCTTCTCTAAAAGTGACTGAGCCTCCTCGCCTGTTGAAGGCAGCTAATTTTAACTCATTTTAATGTGATGTTCTATTATAGGACTGTCTCCCTGCTGGTGACAGAGTGATTGATTGTCATGTAAAATTTAGTTGTAATTTCAATGGTCACGACAGCCATCTTGGTTCTCCCTACTTTTCCATCTACTATTTTACTTTTTTTAACTAAACATTTGTTTTTAGCCTAGCTGACATGAGTACATGTTTTATTATTTATTATAAATATTGCAATGTTACTTAGTGTTGTCTCTCCAAAACCTTTAAATCCATCCATCCATTTTCATCCGCTTATCTGCTACCGGGTTACGGGATGTAAAAATTAGTTTTCATGTTATTGGTCAGTCAGAACAATCTTCTTGGTTTGCCTTTGGATGATAGCTGCTAGAAAAAGTGCTACACCATATGAAAATGATATGCTATTTTTGTCATATAATACATAAATATATATAAAATATATGATATATAATATAATACATATAAAACATTTTTCAAAAAAATATATAT